CTTAACCATACATAAATCCTCCTCAACCACCTCCTTAAAATGTCTCAAAGGTATTTGTGTGCCATCTCAAATTATTTGAAATGTTATATGCAGTATAATTACATTTACATAATCATTTAGCAAATCAAGCCCAATAATGCCTACATTTTCTCAGCATCATGGGCAGATTACCAAGTCTTTTCCTTCCTTCACTGAAATAATTTTTAAGCTTCTTCCTTCTTTTAAATGTGCACCACTTATTCCCACAGTGTTTGGAGACCAAATCAAATGGTTTGAACTACAAAAATACATAATACTACATGAATACATGTTCTTTTATCAGCCCAAAGCTTTTTTCTTTCTTTATTCCCCCCAGGTTTTGCTCACTTCTGGCAGTTCTCCATCTATCAAATAGGCAGGAATGCAAAACAATGTTAACACATCACAGTGCCAGCCTCCCTCCACTCTCCAGTGTGTGTTTAACCATCAGCATTCCTGGTGCCACCTCACAATTCTGTAAAGCTGTGCTGACATTTCACAGAGATTTGGAGATTTTAGTCACATACATTCAGCATCAGTTTTCATTTTCTTGGTTGCGGGGCACTTTCTTCTTAAAAATAAATTTTAAAACTTACAGTGTAGCTTGTGTTATAAAACATTTCAAAGAAATAATTATTTTTTAAGAATTTGGCCCAGTTTCCACCATCTTACTTTTTAGCTTTGAATAGCAAAATATGGAAGCCCAAATTGCTTTGCAAATCCTTATCTAGATCGGATACACCAGGTATCCACCAAGGAAGGAAACAAGATCAATTAACTGAAGGTCATTCTCATCTAATTTTGTATGTGTGCATCCAAGTATATATTTAGATACAATTCCCAGATCTTCATTTTCACATGAAGTCAACCCAAATTTAAAAAAAAGGAAGCAATGAACCAATTCAAGTGCTACCAAAACAAACTACTACGCACCAACAACAGTTCAAAATACACATTGGTTATTCCCAGCCTGGAAAAGAAGCAATGCTGGGAGGTGGAGAAAGCTGGATGAAAAACAAAACCAGAGAGCTTTTGGTTTATAAACACAGTGTTTCAACACCAACTTTTCTGTTTATGCTCCCCACACTGTTACACTTGTCTCTTGGCATATGCTCCATCTGGCTGGGGAGATGCATCTGCTTCTTCCTGCTGCAGGCTCTCCACGTGCAGCTGAGCTCTCCGTGCTCACTCGGAGCCAGGAGCCAACAATCCCATCTCTGATCCCAGAGATGTTCCTGACTGCACAACGTGCACTGCTCCTCTAACAGCTCCATTAACATTTGGTGAAAAGGCAGAGATGAAATGTATTTTAATGCAAGAAAACAGCTGATTACAGCAGCAGATGAAACTGGCTTGGTGACCCTGCTGAAAGCAGCAGCAGGGTCATTTGCCTGCTTTGGCTGAACTATGACAAAACCACTCTCACACCAAACCATCACAAATGTTACTCCCCATTACAGTCACCTATTCCCACAGTAAGGTATTTAATACAAACATCCAAATCATTTGCTGGAATTTACACCAGAGCAGTCCTTCCACAAGAATGAGTATGATTGCAATAATTACGTGCCATAGTTTAAGAGAGATTTTTTTGTACTTTCTAGTTATAGTTTTTATTACAGATCATTACCTATTTCAAGGACAGCTGTCAATATCTGGGGTATAACCTAAGCCTTATTCAGCACATTACTCTACACTGCAAACAGCACTAAGCTACAGAGCACAGGAGAGGCTCATTAACTGACACCCACCCGGAATTCTCCTGGGCACAGATGCCAACTGGGAAAGTAGGTCACATTTTACACAGGCTCCTAAAAATCAAATCACCTCAGTCTGATGAGGTGAGATGAGGAACAAGCAAAACCCACCATGGCCAAGTGTAGGTGAAATAAACCCTGGTTTACTGTATCAGTCAAGGAAAATGAAAACATGGAAAAAAGATAAAAAGCTGAGCTAAACAGGCAGGAAGAGCCATCTTCAGCCCTCGACTCCCAGAAGTGAGGCTGGGAGAGAGGGAACAATTGGGCAACTGCTGCTTTCTGAAGCCTTATTGAGGGGCAGGAGGACCCAAAATGGAAGTGATATCTTATTGTAAATAACCTGCAATAATCTTAACATCCTGCCCTAAAGAAAATATACAGTGCCTGTTCATCTCCCTCTTTTCCTTTGGATTTAAAAACAATGAATGCTCAAGGTCTCAAATTGTCTTTTATACATGAAAACATTTTGTTGACCATATGGATACAGAATCCTGATAAAACCTGAAATTCTTCCCATTTTACTTTGCAGAAATACTTCTTTCTTCAGAAAAAATAATTACTTGTCAAGAATAATCTGTTACAGAAAAAAAGTCCGTGAACATTAAAGCATCAAATGCTTTAACACCTACAGCAAGTCCTTCAAATCACAGACAGCACTTCAGTGTAACAATCTGCAACTGTGCCATTATGGGTTTGTAAAACCAAATACATGATCCCAGTATTTCAAGAATTCAAAGCACATACGGAATAAAAATTTCACTCTTTTCAATACCTCTATATGGTACATCTATGCTGTGCAAGAGCACTACCTTACACTCCAGTAACCTCATGAAAGAACAGGTCATTCCCATCTACAATAACATGTTCAGCAAAAGACATAACTGCATGCATCAAAAAAAATTTCTAATATTCATTTAAGATGCCAGTGCTCTCCCTCCCACTATGTTTTCACAAACATTCCAGCAGCAACAGAAGACACCAAGCTCTGGGCATATGAAAGCAATTCCTATGCCAAAACTGAGCAGGAGACAACTACAAGGGGAAGATGTCTCATCGATTTCACTTAATCATTTACAACATTGATATCTACCCAGTACTGGAAATGAGTAGCAGCAGATTTGTTTCCTCCCTTATCCAGCTTCTGAGCTGTGTGGAATTACCTTCCTTCCAGCCCAGGAAAACTCACCTGCCTGTCATGCACATCAGGACCACAGTGGCTCCAGAATAGTTCCACGGTGAGCCAATGCCCCAGTAAATGCCATTTGTCACATTCAGGGAGGTAAGTTAATTACTAAACATCTATACATTAGCTGCAACTCCATACAATGGAATTACTTTTTATAATTCAGTTTAGTATGAATTTGTCAGATTTTAGGTGCTTTGCTGCAGTAATTTTCATTTGTTAAAACAGAATTTCAATGTCGTTACAAAAAAAGAGAAGCCATTTTACATTGTTCTTTCAGCATGTTTCCAAAATGCTGGTGATGTCACTAAAATCTATCACACTCCAAGCACCCATCAATCCAGAAAGAAAAAACCCAAAAATATTTCACAACCAGGCTAAAGAGCACACAGGGCTTATCTGAAGAGATAGGAGGCTGCATTCCTAAATCGCACTGTATTTGAAAAATGGGAATGAAGTCCTGAATTCCACACTATCATGAAACATTAAATCCAGAGAGGAAAATTAGAAACAATCTGCAGATGAGTCCTTGCATGTTCCCCCGGAGCACATCTGCCCTGGGGTGCTAAGTGCACTTTTAATGTACTGCTCAGGGGTCAAACACTTGACCCTGGTAAAAAACCCACCAACAAGAGGAACCCACAAATGCAGCCTTGCACAGAATTACTCTGGAAGAGGTCCTCAGTCCTCGTGATGTGAAGAAGCACCATTACCATGAGTCACAACACAGAGGCCCTGCATGCAGAACAAAACCCAGCTGAACTTGCATCCCTGGCTCCAACTCATGTCTGTCACATCCAAAGCTCATTCTGCAGGAATTAGGTTTTCCCTTCCTCTCCAGTGGCTATCCCTTATTTATGCTAATCCAGGGACTAAGCCTTCAGCTCTTCATGGCTTGTATTATCCCTCTCTTGAGAACTCAGTGCTGAAGACAGAAGTTGGGGAGGGTTTTTTTCTGATCATAAAAGACAGTTGACAAATTAGCAGAGAATCTTCTCAGAAAGAAATATAAAGCATTTGTCTGTAACTCAGTTTTGTCAATCTGATTTTTTGCTTGCACACTCATGTACAAGATCAGCTAGTACCATCCCTGTACTCTGATCCCCCTGGCAATAGACTCTTCAGCTATTCAAGGCTAATCATTATTCTGAAATCATTCCTAAAAAGCAAGGCATTTGTTCAGAAGACAACTTTAGAATTTAAATTAAACCCTTAAGTCAGCCACCTGTTTTGGTCTATTTACAGGACTACTGGAGACATGCTCTGAAATGCAGTTACAGTACATCAAGGCTCCAATTGCCAAGAAAATCCTTGAATTCTACTGCACCTAATTTAGAAATTATGTACTGAAAAGAGTTTCTATTTAAAGCTCAAGCATTATAAAAGTAGATGAAACCAATACCTTGGAGTAAATATATTCATGTTATTCTATTACTGCAGAAACTGCAGTCGTTCTGCTGCTATTTTAATTGACAGTCACTGGACAACAAATTTAATTAAGTTCGTTTATTCCACAGATTGGCATTTTTTTGGGTATTTTTTTTTTTTGGCTGAACAAGGGGCAGCAGAGGTGGTGGCTGATTTGATCCAAGTTCAAGATATGACTGGTAAAGTGGCTACTACCTCAGAGGAGAATAAGGGCCAACTATAATTGTCTGTTAGGCTGAGGGCATTCTTCTGACCTTTCTCTCCCACTCAGTTGATTTTTTCTCCCCATTAAAACCTTGAACATTTCTCCCCCTCCTTCCCCAGAAAAACAACCATTTTTCACACCTCTATTTCCATTGCCAAATGTGATTGAAATCAAACATGTTTCCCAGAAACTGGCAGGGGGTGGAGGGCAGATGGGAAAACAACATGGCTGTAAAGACAAGTTATTGCCTTAGAGAAACCAGACTAAAAGCAGTAGTTTACATTTTATAACATGGTATTAAATAACTTTAAAGCATTTGATTAAAATATCTTAAAATGCTCTATGTTGCTCTATGTTTTAATTATTAAGGAGATAAGAAGACTGATGTGTCTTCTCAAATTGTTACCTCAACAATATCTGAGTTGGTTCTGCTTTCATGGGGCTCGTTGTATTCTGTGTATTTTAGTAGAACTTTGTCCATGTCAGTGCTGGCATACTGAAAGAGTTTGTTAGAGCTGTTAAAAATGATGAGTGCTATTTCACAGTCACAGAGCACACTCAACTCATAGGCCTTCTTCATTAATCCAAACTTCCTCTTTGTAAAGGTGACCTAGAGAAGAAAGAATAATGATTGATTTATTTTTTTTAAAACACATGACAAGGGTATGAAAGAAAATAATAAAGGTATACACTGACTGAGCCTACACCATTTACTCCTCCTGTAATATGCAGCTTAACACAAGAACTGCCTATAACATCTGGTGCCAATTTTAGGGCCTCTTTTAGGTTCTCTATTAGACTAAGTGAAACAATTACAAAACACCCCAGCTCTTCCACTGGTACATAACTACCAAGAAGAGTTAAATTTTAGTTAGAAGAGGATAATTTAGCTTTACTTCCTCTGTTCAATAGACTGACTTTCCAGGTATCACTATATTTTCTTCTGTGGTACTCAACCTTAATTGTAACAAAATCAAAGAAAACAGAACACTCAATGGAAGTAACACTTACTATGCACTATGATTCTAATTATGTAAGGCTAAGAAATATTGCTATTTTGTTGCTATTAAGTAATTTATAATTTGACTTGTTTTCTGCCACTTGGAAACATCAGGAAACAATTGTTCTGTCCAGTTAGAACTGCTGTGGGGAAACAAACCCATTACAGACCATCACACAGGAGCATCTGCCCATCAGGGAAAGAGGAAACAGTTATGGAACTTATCATCAGTTATGATAAAAAAAAAGTCTAAAAAATCATTCCTGTCATAAGACAGCAGCTAAGGATATAAAAGTGTCAATGCATTTGACACCTCCCCATTGCAATTGCAAGCACGAGTCTCTGTCACAGGTGAGCCATCCACACGCCCCATGTCCCACAGACAACAGCCAGGGAGATTTTGCAAGAGAGGAATGAAGTAAGAACAAGAAACAATCAAACCTGTTTTCTGGGTGTCTGTAGTTTAATTACCAAGCTGTACAGCGAGTTTTTGGGAAAATGGATGGGAAACTTCTTCTGTATATAGACACCTGAAGGCTTTTTTCTCCTCATTATCTCACACATATTACTTTTTTAATACCATTAATAATACAAAGTATATTCTATTCTTCCCACCATGTTAACAGACTCAGAAGATACACAGCTGTTGTTCTTCTGACACCTAGAAGGTTATTACCTGAGTATGGGCAGGTATAGAGAGGTATTACTGCTTAGAGTTTGTCAGGAAAAAGGCATTATAAACAAAATGTGTTTGTGCTGTGTCACCTGGAGAAGTCCTCAGGGAAAGAATAAAGGTTTACTGCCACTGAGGACCAGTAGGATCCTGGACAAGAGCTCTCCATTTCTTTACTGGAATTTTGTCTTTCTCACCTCCTGTAAAGCTGCTTCACTTGTGAGATTCTCAGCTGGCATCAACTTCTCTCTTGGTGCTTGGACAGTGCTTAGCACAAAGCCCACGACCACAGCACCCTGAGCCTTACTTCAACACACACAGATTATTTTAAACTCAGTTTCCATTTCAGAACCCAAAGGCAGTCTTAGTTTTCTAAATTTCTCTTTTTTTCCTGTTCCATTTAGGACCACATCAAACTCAAAAAATATGTCTCGTTATTGCAGGTAAATCATTTCCCCAGCACTATTTTAATATTGCTTAGCAAAAAAATGGGTGAGGAGGAGACAGCAAAGGCAGCAAGATTGAGCTCCTTTGATATCTAATTTACTGTGCTGGATTCTCTTCAGCTTAATGAAGATAAATGTCCTACAGCTCATTCAAGAAGATAAAGCTGCTTAATTAATAATACAATGACAGTCTCATGACAATCATAATCCCCCTGAGGAATGGTCTATATATTCTGTTTTGAGCTCACATACAATCCCATCAGAAATAAGATGCTTCTGACAAAACAGTAGTTTTTCCTCCCACACAAGTTATATGAACTTGCTTTGCAGGCAGAGCTCTGTCCCATTCTACTTATATTTGCAAACAAAGAAAATCTAAACCTCAAACTAAACACCCAACCAGGGCATCATAGGCATGTCCATGAGTGATCCACTCACCAGCTCTACATGCCATAGAAAATCTGACAGGACACAACTGAACTACACTGTCAGATCAGAACAAACCCTGAATGCCCTCCCTATCTGGATCAATGAAAAAAAATCTCCAAGTAAATACCTTATAAATGCCCAGTGCATCAGGGCATTCTAATATGTTGAAATTCCATATCCTGGCTACCAAAACCACAGGACACCGGTGGGGATGAAGGCCATTGATACCTCCACATATTTTAAGAAGTAAGATTCCACTAACAAAAACTACTTCATCTGTCTAAAACCTTTTAAAAACAAGATGCAGTGTGTTTTCATCTGAGTTCCCAGAGAAAAAGGATAAGGCAAGCCTAACTCTACTTTCAAGTTAGAGCTTAAATCCTCTTCCTTATCACTAAGTAGTCCAAAAAGTTGCTAGCCAAAAACCTGCCAGAAACAAAACTAGAATTTAATCTCCCTATTTTGCTTCAGTCACAGCAATGGTGTAAGTGGTCTAAATTTTCATACAAATGCACTGATTCTCTTCCTCTCCATTGTTTCAATCTGAACAATGGGATGGGGATTCAAAAGAAAAAAAACAATTTCTCCTGGAAAAAAACCAAAAACCCCTCACCAAAGTCAGGGTAGAAATGTAACACTGTTTGTTCCTCAAGCAGAACAAAACCAAGGCTGCCCAACTTAATCCAGATTCATGTAAAAAAAGGAATAAGCAGGATCAATTCCCATCTCTTCCATGTGCTTTAAGTTGTAGAGCAAGATCTGAAAAGAACTGAAGTCATTAATTCATCTACTTTTACTACGTGTACTTAAGACATTTATCTACATCAAACATAAAGTCACTGGGTGATTAAAGCTGTTCAAACACAATACTTGGCTTTCTCCCAAACTCCAATAATACTTTTCTTGCTATATATAGACTTCTCAGAGTTTACATTGCTTTAAAGTGATACAGGGAGAAAAACAATCTTGATCTCACCAACAAAACAATGGGCTCTGAGCTGATGTGTCAGCAGCAAGAGAGTCCTGTGGAATTCTGACAGTACCCCAACGTCAAACTGCTGCTCAGAAGTTAAAAAAGGAAATCAAACAGCAGGAAGGGAACAGAACAAAACAGCTGCACAACACTACACTAGTCCATATTTTGCCTGCACCTTGAATTCTGGGTCCCTTGGCCATCAAAGTAATGGAGTAATACTCCAGAAGGTTTCAGGTAAAAGGAGCAAGAGGTGTGAAACAAATTCTGTATCAAAACAACTAAGCAGCTATAGCCTGAAAAAACTTACTTTAAGAGAAAATAAGCAAGTGTGGACAGACTCTAGATAGGGAGTCACTGTTGGCTCTTCCATACAAGAGCTAAATAATTGGCAGAACCATGACAAAGGGCAAATAAAACAGCGTTTCTTGAAACAACGGGCAATAGGCCTGGGGATTCTAGACAAAAGATGTTGTAAATGCTGCAACATTGTAAGGGCTCAAAGGATAACTGAACAACTTCCCTGGTGGGGGGCGGGGAAAACAAACAAAAAAACCCATTAATGGTTACTAAATATACGGAAACCACATCCAGCTCAGGAAATCCCTGAGCTAAGAATAGTTAAAAGCTGGAAGAGGATTACAGGGTCGGGTGCATGTGCATCTCCAGCCCACACGTATTTGCTCATGGCCATCGCTGGACAAAAGACGTGGCCCAGCGGCACCTCTGGCCTCAGCCACCAGCACTGCTCTTAAAGACTTTAAGTCATTCCTGTAATAATTTGCCTTAAAAACGACAGCTTCCAGTTATCCCACTATATATTTCAGCATCCAATTAAAATTTTATTTTGCATCCCATGTAGCAATTCAGAAATTAAGAGGAAACATTACAGTAAGAGTCATCAACTTTTGGTGCTTTTCAAGTTCACAGGGCACCAGCAGCCAAGCGAGCAGCTTTCCCTGAAACATTCATTTGGAGCCCTCTTCCCTTCTGACTGACAGTTTTTAAAGACTTTTGTAACAAACAGCTCTTAGAAGAAATACAAATCGATGCTTTTAAATAGAATGTTAACAGAATTTGTTACTGTATCCAAAGGACTGAGGATACTGCCCATAGCTACCTCAAACTCCTCTGTCTACAGAAAAGTGCTACAGAAAATACCTTTACTAGATCCTTCCTGAATTCCTCATCCTTTTTCTGCCTCCAGTACTAAGTGTTCCTAGTAGTTATCAGATCAAGCCATGTGTCTTTAAAAACACCCCTCCACTCTAGTGCTAGCACAGCAGGATATCATTTAAATAGGAACAGCAATTTTAAATTTTAAGTAGTAAGAGTTATTACTTATAAATAAAATTTTTTCCTCAAACAGTCATAAAATCATTGAGGTTTCTTATTCATATTCTGGCAAGGGTATCTGTGGATACATGAAGACAAAGCTCAGCTTTAGAACAATGAATTAGGATGAATGTATTCAAACTTTCCATTAATTTTTAAGATTACTGATGGACCTGTTCATGCAGACTTGGTTCTCACCTGCCTATTCCGTTCATCCATTATTCTCGTGATCTGTATTTTCTTTCTCCCCATTTTCGCCTCTTCTTTCTTTTGTTTAGCAATCCAGAAATAAACTAATCCAAGAAATGTCCCTCTTCAGTGTTCTAACACATGATACAGTTTTCTTTTACTTTGTCTTCAGCTTGAGAAACGGTTCCTACTTCTTCTTATAAGCACCTAAAAAAAAGTGAAAATATTAATGGACAAATTACTAAAAAGGAAGTATCATTAAAAACCCATAGAGCCAAAAACATGTGCATCATGAAATTTCAGTGAGAAATCAAGTGTTTTCATTAGTAAAGCATTATACTACACACTGACTTCTAATTAAACTCCCACTGGTTTGCTGCATTCTACGTACAAACTACAGACTTAAAATGACCAATAATTTCACACACTTCCAACTGAATGCCTCAAAAATACAATTATCAAAGGGGTGGTGCTCATCACTCTAAGATTTAGGCCTTTAGTTATCTGAGGTTTCACACATTTACAAGTTTTGGTAAACTCCATTCAGTATTTTAGAGAACCTTATAAAGAAACATTTTGTGTTGCTTGTTTTTTATTATCACAAAAATAACAAAACAAAGCCATGAGAATATCAAGTTTCTGTTCCTAAGCCAAATTACATCTCCTTTTGTGAGCCACTTCTTGGGGTTCCATTGGGAAACAAAAAGGAGAAGGAAAGAGGGGAATCTCTCTACTTAAGAGACCAGAGAAAAGAGTTTTGCAAGAAAAGTATTTAATGGTTACCATGACACCAAGGAAGACCTGAGACCTGACACAGGTCCAATTCCTCTCTCCAATAACCTCTAAGTGCCACATCTGCCAATACCCATTTGCAGCCCAGCACCTGTTTCATTGTTCTATTGTTCACCAAGAGAAATGTGCAGGAAACTTGAAAAGCCAGTGTGCCACCACATGTAAATCTGCACTGAACAAACTTCAAATGTATTTTCAGTAAAAAAATTGCTAAGCCATAATCCAGACACACTGCTTAAATTGTAGGACAAACTTAGTTGAAGGAAACTGCAGAAAAATTTAAATCAAATGGCTTCTAGAACATGAAGGATCTACTAGAATGTATAGACATGAAATAGGTACAACTTATTTATCTTATTATCACCTCATACTCATTCAAAGGGGTAAAACCAGCCCAAATATTAGCTGATAGCCTCTCTAACTTCCCAACCCAAAACATCTTCTGAAGTAAAGCCTTGCATATTTTAATCTGGGTGTCACCATGCCATCTCCTTGAGGCCATGTGTAGAGAGTGGTGCAACCACATCACCATCAGGCAGTTAATGAGCAGAGACAGCAAGAGGCGATTAGTCACAGGCTACACTTCACAATACATTCAATTTACACCGAGGAAACAGACATGATGTTCTTGGGAGGAAAAAACAGAGGTGGAGGAACATGACAAAATGAAGGGATGTCATTTTCTATTTACCTGACAGCAACAAAGGACTGCTTTAGAAAACAACACAAAACGCCCAAGAGTATTTAGAAATACTATTTAATGAAATTTAAATTAAAATAACACACAGTATGATGGCCACTGGTCTACAGGATATGCACTAAACACTGTCTCTATAAAGCAAAGCATTTGAAACATCCATCAACCCTGCACTGCTTTTGTTTTCTTCATGAAAAAGGATTTCTTCCAAGGTGCAGCTAAGAAGGTAATTAATAGACAGTGGAGACCAGACGAAGCAGCCTCTATACAACCAACAGCACCCAGGGAATATCTTCCAGGGAAACAACAGTTGGCATATCGATTTATCCCACTTTTGTTTAAAAAAAATTTCTCAGCTCATGCTATGATCACACATTAAATTTAGTTCTGGAAAAATCTGGTTGCATCCCTTGAACATACCTAATCAAAGGATCTCTAACTAGCTCCTAAAATTTGTTTTCTCCTATATGTATGGCTTCAGTTTTTAAACCTCCCATGTATTATTGAAACAGTTCTCTGAATACAGAATTACCAGGGTCCTTCCTCTGCTTTTAAAAGCACCCCATCGCCACCAGTACACAGAAATGGCCACCACACGAGGCCAAAGATCCACCTGGTGCAGCATTTTATCTGTGGCTGCTAGCAGATATCACTGGGATGGCCAAGGAAGAACACAGGAATAGAGTAATAAAAACATAAACCACATATTAGGTGGTTTTTGAATGAGGAACTTCTGGAGTCTTTCTGCCTCCTGCAACATACTCAAAAGCAAGTCTATCCAGTGAATAAAATAAGGAACTCTGGGGAAAAGGGAGAGAGGAAGATAAATATGATGTGAGATTATGCAATCTATATACTAAAGAACACAAAATAAGAGATGCACAAATGGTTTGTATGAGCTTAATGGAAGGCACAGTAGCAGGGAAACACTGTTATCTGTTCTGTGCACTGCCACACAAAGGGAAATGGCAAACAGTAATTTTCACCCTGTTACAGCTTTGGGGTGTCAGTTCAGGTCTTTTACAATGCTTATGCTCTATAAGGCATAAAAACCTCAAGCTATTCCCCATTTATGAGAGTTCACTGTTCCCTCTCATCTCAGGTCTGACTTTCTTTAACCTTCAACACTTGTATCACTCACTCAGAAATTCCCCATTCCTGTGTGCACATGTGCCCAGCCCAGTCCAGGCTCTCCTCCCTCTCCCACAGGTTGCTATGGACACCAGAACCTGCCTTGGAACTGCATTTTCCAAAGGCAGCCCAGCTCTGGGATGCAGCATCCCTGTCATTCTGAGGCCCCACTCAAGGTGATTTGCACAGCTCAGAACTGAAACAGAAGTTTGGCTTGAGCTCAGGGCAGAAAGGACCTTGGCACAGCAGCAAAATCAGAGAAACCTGTGCAGTAAAAAGGCACTTTCCATGCAAGCTCAGAACATCCCAACGGGAAGCTACTGCCAGGGACAAAGGCACCTTACATTTCTAATGAGAAGAATGACTTTTCCTTTTACTCATCCTTGATCATGTCACAGTTGTGGTTTCATTTTCCATCCTGACTAGCAACAAAACTATGTACAATAAGATATAAAACTGGGTCCAACATCAGGTTCCATCAGAAATGTAACTAGCAAAGCTTTCATTTTGCTAAATCATAGTTACATTACAAACACACATTAAGTGAAGCTCTCAATTCACAAAGCCATTTCATGTGGATTATAACACACTTTTGCCCAAATAAAGGAAAATCTGCTGATATACATATGAAGATCAACCCACATTTACATCTGAGACTAAATCTGAAACGAACACAAAGTAACCTTGATGAAGGTAAAGTTCTACTTCCTTAAGTGGCACAATCCAATCACAGCCACCAAAGCTGTTTCACATTACTTGCATGGGCACACAGAAGCAAAAATAAGTTTGTCTTCAAGAAGAACTTCAGGTATATATTAAACAAAATAATTAGAGTAAGAAGAGAAAAAGAAGGAAAAACCCCACATGCTTCATTACGAACTTCAAATAGAAAATAATGTCAGCTTGCAATAAAGGCAAGAAAAATTCTATTTGTCTTGTCCAAATAACAGCCTATTTGTTTCAAAGTAAACGATTCCAAATTTTCTGGATTTTTTCCCTTCCCCAAAACCCGTGAAAACAGCACACTAATTACTGACAGACAACAGAACCACACGCAGAAACATACCCTCACAACTGCACATCTTCAGGAGCTCATCTGAATTTGTTGTCAAGATTGCTTTCAGTTTCACAGATTGTTGAGAGAGATGTAACTTTAAAGCAAGGAAACTGTATTTGACCTATTTAAAAAGATTCTTTCAAGGGTTCAGTGGAAACACATTATATCTGTACAAAACTGCACAAGGTCTGGAAGCCTCCTGGCAGAACAGGTTAGGAAAAACTGTGTCAGAATCATACTCCTTCCATTTAATTTCCTTTTATTTCCCTCTGACTCTGTTTTCTTGAAACTTCCATTTCACCACCATGGTTACAGGTTACATCTGACAGTCCCCGTCTCCTCACGGCTCATTTACTGCAATGCACACAAAGGAATGAGTGTCCTGACGTCAGATCATTTGCATGAAAACACAGATCTGCAGAGATGCATCTTACACAAGCCTTGGCTATGCCTTCCTAAATTGCAGAGAGTCATTTTTACTGAACCGAGATTAATAGGTCTTTTTCTAGTCTTAAAGGAGCCTGTGCAGATATTTTTGTAGATATGGCTCCCCAGCATGAACTGGTGAGCACAGACTGATCACAGCTGAACTGCACACTTGCTGGTTATTCTATTCTGACATTTTGCACACTCACATCAGCAGAATATAAAAATTCCCATTCACAGCAGCACGGAGATGAGCCCCACCACGTGTTGGCTGTTGCACACCAACAAGGCAGATAACACAGAGTATCTCATTTTTCCACAGTATAATAATGGACAAATGTCAGTGTCCTCTCTCCCTGCCCCACAGTGCTGAGTAGAAGTAGCAAGGAAAAAAAAAAGAGTCAAAGAATGTCTTCACCAAAGTAATTTATCTAAAGGTTAAAGGGCTGTGTGGAACACAGCCAAACATGATCCTCAGACTCCATTTCACTGTCCAGAAGTGAGAAAAAAGAACATTTTCTTCTTCAGAACTTCACAGAGATGCAAACCATATAAAGTAAGTACACAACTGCAAACACCTTTTTTTTCTAAATCCCATACTAATTACACAAGATATGTTCACTCAGATATGACTGCACTGACACAAGTTGAGGTCCATGGGATGTCATCTCTGTGCTCTAGACATTCCACCAGCCCTGCTCCAAAACCCACTGCTACCACCTGGAAGCTAAATTTGAAAATTAAAATTCCCAGCAAAGGGGTTTTTACATACCTTTATGTCTGCAGTTAACAGAGAGCACACTCAGATCCTTGCTGGGGTTTTTGCAGAGGTGTGCAAAACCAGCACCAAAGCAGTTTCCTCCAATCACATTTCTATAGCCCTGTCACCATATATTGCTGCAAGTAATGTCAGATGTAATTGTTGAACAAGCACACAGCTCCCCTTCCAAAACAAGGGTACATGCTGTCATTTATCTCTCCCTGCTTGCTGCATCACAATCTTAGGAAATAAATCTTTTTTCCATCCTGAGTTTAGAAGCCATTCTTCTCCCTCCAAGCAGAGCCTCTCAGTAAATGAGAGTGGCCTCACAGCTTCAAGGTCCT